GTTTGGGCCTGGGCGGTTGCTGCACGCAGCAGCTGCCCACCTTCAGGCCCAGCAGATGACATGATCTTGTCAGGAACTGGTGAAGAAACACTCAAACTAGACAGGCCCCAGCACCAGCAGAAACCCCGTTTCACCACCACTGCTGAGCTGCTGTACCCAGGGTCCATCTCCGTCAGCTGGTGGTGGTGCAATCTGGTCAACGGTGAATTTAGCCCTGTACTAACGAGAGGGGAATCTCACAGACAAAAAGTAGCGTGGGCTCCAAACTGTGAGCATCCTTATAACTTGGTTGGCCTGGACCTTGACCCAGGGAATGACATGGCACTTCTGGCCATCCAGTTGTCACTTCTCGTCCTGCCTACCCCAGCTGGTGATTCCTCACCTGGGCTACGTGCGTCCGGAGTGCCCCGTGCGACCACACGGCTTGCACTCGATTACAAATTGTGTGGGCCTAAGCAACATGAGTGAGCGCACTCCCCTTTTAGGAGAGAGGATTTGAAGTCTTTTATATCTGATACATTGGTGGGAATTTATTCCCTTGAGTAATCTCATATCTGAAGAGCCACAAATTTCAGAGTCATCCAGAAATGAGTGTTAGAGAAATCAGTAGAGTCATAACTAGAAATAAGGCACAAACCTGCAAGGACGCACTGACTAGCTTCTCAAGAAGGCTGGTAATCTACAACACAGAGGCAAAGCAAAACCGTTCAGAGCACTGAGTGAAAAGAAATGTCATTTCCTGCATCAAAAGTTGAATCTAAACTCAGAGCACTAACAGCTTTCCAGGAATATCTGGGCTGCAAAAAATCACTTAATTATTTTCATAATCCACTTATCTTTTATGGTGAATAAAAATGAATTTTTTTTTCAGTTTGGGTCCTCAAACATCTGTGTGATGCCAAAGACAGCTGTGTTGGGACTAGCTACCTATAACAGATTCAAATTAGTCACTTAACTGATTGCAAGGCCCCACTTTCTAAGAGGCAAGCGGCTTCTATTTTCCTGTTTTCCTTTGTAGCTTTCAGATGCATTTTCTACCTACTGGAGTTCAAGGGGGTGGCTGGCGTTCTTCTTGCAAGTGGTGCTCCTAGGTGGCCCACTTTTAGCTTGTTAATGTAACTAGGAACTTGTTAAAGACACTCATTAGCCTGTCACATTATATCCTAATACAACAGCAGATTCTCTTTCTTCTATTGCGAGCAAGCTAACTGATTAAAGCTCTGTAATGCAGCCTAGGAAGCCTGTGTATTTGCTATATAATTTGTTTCTCCCTTCCTTTTTTCTTCCCTTCCAAAAAAATCTATTTCAAACTACTTAAACAGTAAGTAAGGTCTCAACAATTCAGTTAACCTAGAACAGCACTGATCAGTTCCTGAAGAGAAGGGGCTGGCTAGCATGTGAACATGTTACCATCCATACAGTGCATTGTTGTTTTCTCTCTGTGTTTCAGTTCTATTGAGGTTCTCCCTACTGTGGATCGCCACCACTAAGAGGAAAACTAGAAAGGATAAGTCACAATCCTGCCTCATCTTCTCTTCTAAGCTATGGTTTTCATGTCAGGGTTTTTTGGTGATAGTGAAAGGTTCTATCTACACGAAGTCAACTGCATTACTAAAGCTCAATCTAAATGAAGATCTGTGTGTCTACCAGCTGAGCTTGGGTTGAAAGCATCCAAAAGAAGACTGGATCTGGGGAGGATCCCTGTACAGAGAACATATAAAAGTTAGAAAAAAGAGGAAGCTTAAAATGTTGAAAGATAGAAATCTATAAGGAGTGGAGAAATGTAAACCAAGCTATAAAGGCACAAGCAATGTTACAGCCAGCTTATAGCTCTGCATGTGGAATGACAATCGCAGTTAGGCCTACTGTGAACAGATCTGCAACAACACAGACTGTTTGCTTTGAGACATTAATTGTGAGTTCATCAGCTCTAGGTATTTCCTCTTGCTTTCATTTCTAAGAGCATGGGGCTTTTTCCATCTGTTTAAAGGGCTGACATTCTTCCACTGCTGTTTGCTAGGCTGGGATTTTCCTTCAGTACAAGTCAAGCAAAATGATTGCTGAAAAGACTCCACAAGGGAAAACATATGTTCATGAATATAAGACAGCAAGTAAGACAGACTGGCTTAGAGAAACATCTTTACAAATTTAGGTATGATAGCACAAAGAGTATTCCATACCTTCTGACTCTGAGCTGAAGAGAAGGATCTTGCCCAGATTAACCAAATACCTTGAGCAACCACAGAAATGATGGCAAAATAAATGACTGAATTAGCAGCCAAGCAAGAGAACAAGGATAAGATGGAGGAAAAAGTCAAGAGCATTAGTCGTAGCATTGAGCTGTGTCTTGGTAATACTAGTGAGCATGTCAGTAGGATCAAGTATTGTGCTATCTGGGTGGCAGCAACTGATAATTAGAGGGAATGAAGAAAAGTGGCCATAAAACATACAGCTGAAATGATAATTTTAGAAGATGAGTTTCACCTGAGTCAGTGAGAGGTGAGAGAAACAGTAAATAGTTTGTTATCTTCCTCCTCCCCCTCAGAAACACATTTAGCTTGGGGAAGGCAGAGGAATTTGCCAACAGGATCAACTTCATTTTCAGGATCTCATGTCATGTGCAGTACATGGCATCTAAGTCTGGCTGCAGCCACACTGCTGCACAGTCTGTTTTTATCTCCCACTGTGCTACTGCACAGCCTTCTCCTCACATTCATTGAGAGCAACACTGCATTCATCCCTCCTTTCACTTCAGAGAACCTTGCACGAAGAGTCCTCAATATACAGGAATACAGAGAAAGCTTTTTCCTTTTCCCCAGGTATTAGCACGTGCCCATTTCTTAATCATCATAGTGATGCTTGAAGTCTGGAGGTATATTGTTATTAAGTTAAAGTATTTAGTTAAACAGGTTAACCCTCATCTCTGTAGCTTGCAAAGTCCAAAATTTAATCAGTAGTTGAATCCTTATACCCAGAAAATTGATCCAGATTTGGAAAACCTTGTGCAAATTTAGTCCCTAGGTACACATTATTATTTTTCTTAATTAGGCCTCATGAGATTACTAAGCTTTCTAATATCACATAAATTGTATCATCTAGGTTATTAATCTATTACTGTTACAAGGCAGGTTTTATTCTTTTTAAGAGGAAAAACAGTTGTTAAAAGATTGTTCAGTTGATTGGAGAAAGTCTGAAAACCTAATTTGTTTTCTCCTAGACTGGCTGCGGTTCGCACTATGTAGGAAGTCCCACCCTGGGTGCACATGATTGCCACGTCTGAAGTTCATGCTGGAAGGAAATTTAGGTGCACGTGGTCCCTCACGTGCTTTGGAAGAAAACTGGAGCATACAGTCAGAAGGAGTTACAGTGCTCTCTGATAGATACCAATTTATTGCTATCTATCTATAATCCAAGCAACTACAAGCCAGGACATCAGGGTGCATATGGAATATGTACACCCTGGTATGGGCTATCCATCAATGCCAGAAAGAGTACTTGGAAAGCTAAACAGCAATCACTTAAAGGAAAAGAAGGTTAAGAGCATAGCTACTGTGCTAGTTTGCCTGTGACTTGCAATTGGATCCTCACTAGATGTTAAGCCCAGCTTTGGCATCATTTCCTAGCTGGCCATGAAATATTTTTCAGTGGAAAAAGTCTAAAACCCCAAGAGGCCTGCTGAGGGATTCTGATCTCTTTCTTTCAGTATACTACAGTCAAAATGCAAGCCCACTGTACCTCAGAACAGCAGTACACTTCCTCAAAACCATTCGCCTATGCAACAGTTCTAGTAAGGATAACAGCATGTTTACGTATACAGTTTCACCATGATGTCTAGGTAACATTACCTCATTTTAGAGACCAGGAAATGGAACACAAATAGTTTGAATGACTTTCCTATGGCCTCAAGCAGAATCGGTGGTTAACTCATAACTGAATCCATGTCTAGTAATACAATGCAGAAATAGAAAATCAGAAGTATGAATGCTCAGCCTGAAGGCTACTGTTTGCTCTTTAAGGGCATCAGCATGTTTGTTTTAATATTTTGAGCACACATATATAGAAAATGGCCACAAATACTCAGAAAAAATCAATTAATTAGTGATTTTATTATAAGCTAAAATGCTAAGCAGTAAATTATGGCTCCTGGGGATGTAGGATACAAACTTTTCTGTCAGTTACACTGTGGGGATGGTAATCTGTAGCAGAAGAGTGAGGCAAACAGCTGGGGGAGGGCAATAATCTCTTAAATCAGTCAGGATCATTATTGAAAAAGTTTTTGCTAGTTCCAGGGGTTTGATCCAACTCCGCTGAAGGAAATGCTGTATTTTTTTCAATCATCAACCTATATTGAATCCACTGTGCAGCAATAGAAAGGTTTTGCAGAATTAGTGCTATAAATCATACATTCAATCACCTTGCAAGTGC